CAGCAATCCTCCTGCCTCAGCCTCCCAAGTGCTGGGATTAGAGGCGTGCGCCACCATACCTGGCCTCAATTTTAGTTTACTGCATGGTGAAAGATATGGGTTTGATTTTACTGAAAGCCAGTGTTCCGAGCACTATTTATTAAAAACACTACCTTTTCTCCAGTGAAGGTGCTTGTCCTCTTTGTCAAAGATAAGGTAGCTGAGTGTGTTTGGAATTGTTTCTACATCTTCTATTCTGTTCCGGTGATCCTTGGGTCTGTTGTTTTTGCCATGACCATGCTGTATTTATCATGGTAGCTTTGTAATAGGGATTGTGATGCCCCATTTCTTCCTTTTGTTGTTCAGCAGTTGCCTTTGCTATTTTAAATCTCTTCTGTTTCCATATGAATTTTAAGATTTTTTTCTCTAGTTTTATGAGATACATTGTTGGTATTTTGATTGGGATTGCATTAAATCTAAATAACAGTTTTGGAAGTATGCCCATTTTCACTATATTGGTTTTATCTATCCAAGAACTAGGGTTATCTTTCCATTTTCTGATATCCTCTCCCTTTTCAGAGTACTGTTTTCAGTTTATAAGTCTTTCACTTCCTTTGTTAGATTGATTCCTAAGTATTTCATTTTTCTTAATAGAAACTCTTAAGTTGGCCGACCATTGCTCACTCTTTATTTCTCTCCTTCTTTCTTTTCTCATAACCTTCTTACCCCTAGCTAGGTTTTAGGCAGTTGGGGAAAAAAACTTCAAAAATACATTACGTCTAGTTTTAAATCACAGTGTGTTCCCTTTAAGGATATACTGAGAGTTTAATTTTAACTTTTTTAGATCTCAGTCACAAATGATTATTGATCAAATAACTGTGTTCACACATGACTATTTGATACTGTGTAGCATTAGATGTGTTATGTATGGATAGCTGTAAACTTTATTTCCTAGTGCTCCAGGGATGCAGGCTATGTAATTGAATCCAAAATCCTTGATCGGCTGACAATGCATTTGTAATCTTTTTATTTTTATTTTGTTATTTTTTGTAGTGCTGCTTATCAAACCCTGAGCTATACACCTAGTCCTTTAAACTCTTCTATTATTAGGTAATTCTTCAAATGTTTTCAGCACTCAGGATGAATTGAATTATGATAGTTATTACAAAATAATGTCATTAATAGTTACTGATTAAATTTATTAGTAGGCTTAATTTTTGTAAACACTGAATTTTACCTTAAAAGAAGAATGCAAGTGTAACATTACTAGCCTTTGCTCTTGGATATTGATCTCATTTACAGAGAGGTAGTTCTGTATTATAGAACACCATTAATGGTGTTCGTGTTAAGTCATTTTATGTCACTTTTTGTTTTGGTAATGGGGATTGAACTCTGTTCCTTGCGCTTGTTAGGCAGGTGGAGTAACCACTGAGCTAAATCTCTGACCCTTAAGTCATTTTATAAATCTTTATTCAATGGCTATCCAGAGCAGAGATTAGCATTTAATGATTAGTGGATGAATAGTGCTGACCTAAATGAAAGCATACATTATTCTCAGAAGTCACAGATTCCTCAATTTAGGGATTCTTTCAGAATTTCTGTTTTTAACTTACCTTCCTAAAATGAACTGACAGATTCAGTATACTGAATTCTTTTGGTATTTTAGCACATTCATCATGTTTGTTTCTTCAGTAACATGGTTTATTGCTTTGTATGTCTTTGGAGTGATGTTATAAATTCACATGCTAAATGTATTGAAGAAGTACAGTATAATCTCGGATAAGTTTCTTAAACGAGTCATTTAGTAATAGCCATTTCATTTCATTCCATAAAAATCATAGCATTATAGAATTGGAATGGACATTTTAGAAATGCCATGGGCATCTGATCCAACCTCCTTATTTTCAAGTCAAGTTCCACAGAATTATCTTGTCTTCTGTTGCCCACCTGAGTTTGTATGAGGAAGATATTTTGCTGTAAGGCCTTCCCTCATGGTTTTAAAAAGAAGAGCTAGTCTCTAATTTATAAAAATGAATTGCTTCAATAGCCTGGGGATTTAGCTCAGTGGTGCTGCTGCCTACCTTGCAAGCACAAGCTCCCAGGTTCCATCCCTGGTACAAAAAAAAGAATTGCTTCAGAAATGTTTTAAAATCTGTTGTTTAGAACTCTGAACATTTTCCCATAGGAACAATATTATAACTAATGGTAGGGATCCAGGACTAGTGCTCAAAAGGTGTTACCTCATTATGAGACTGAAACTGTCACCTTTATAATGACATGTTTTGAATAATCAGTTCTGATTATCTCTGGAGAACGTAAGGGAGATGACATTAAAGAGGACTATGTCAGAGACTCTCTTTTTATCTTTTATTTCTTAGGCTGAGTAGTTGAGTAGTGAGTACATGGGGTACATGTTTTCATTATAATGTTTTCCGAATTTTTTTATGCCTGAAATGTTTGATGTTTTAATCAGTATTTTAATACTGGAAGTTCATTTTGAATATTAACATTTACATACTTACTTAATTACAGGTGTTTAAAGAAAAAATGGTTTGATTACAAAAGGATAAAAAGTTAGAAATTCTTGATGGAGTTTTATAGATGCTTTCAAGGGCTTAGATTTGATGGTAGCTATATTTATTTTGTACAGTACTACTTCATAATGTTTATTTGTTGTTAATTTAAGTGTCTCACCAGAAGGCTTTTATCTGACAGCCATCTGTAGGCATTGTTTTGAGAGAGGAAAGAGAAAAGGATAGTCATTTACTTGCGATAACTAAACAAATTGTGAAAGGCAAAGAAGACTGAATTATACATGTATGTGCAAAAATGGTCTAGATCTTGCTTTGATTTGCAGTTACTTGAATTAGAGGCTTGTAAAAACAGGAAAGCAGGGGGAGTAAGGCTTATACCAGGTCTGAATCTGGAGAAGGGCAGGGAGAAAAACATAAAGGCCTAAAGGTTTGCTTACTGTAGTAAGAGATTTGAGGGTGCATACACGTACAATAGGGTAGGAGTTTGGTTTTAGCACAACAATGTAAGCAACTGTTGATATTTTTGAAATTTTCCTAATTCAAAGAATGCCTTTACACATTTATAAATACACACATGCAAAATCTAGCTACTTTTTTTATTTTAGCAAATAACTGAGCCAGTTTTCTTAATGATTTTATTACTTTTTTGTGAATGGAAGTTATTGTTGATTTCCTTTTTGGTATTTTGCAATTACAGCATTGATTGTTTTTAATATTGTGATGTTAATCCAGCTGTACAACTTATTTATAGCTTAAGTAAAGCTTAGTAATTACTTGCCTTTTGGGAAATACTTGACCTGAGAAGCAAAGTGTTCTTTACTTTTTCTTGTGCATTTCAGAAAGATACATGTCCATTTTACAGATGTGTCTTTAATACTACCATGGAGAGGTTTCTATTATCCCATCTTTCAGCTTCGTTTGTAGAACATTACCATGAAAAAAATTGCCCTAGGGAAACTTTTCATTGAAGTTTATAAGATAGTTATATAGAAATATGCAAGACCCATTTTGTGAGCAGTATCGAAATTTAGCATTCAGATTAAGACCAAAGAGGGAACAGACAAAATGGAGAGTGCAATTGCATGAAATAAAGGAAGTTAGAACAAAAGAGGAGTATTTGAAAAGAAGATTAAAGCCAGTTAAATAGGAAATGGGGTTGAAGACTTTCAGGGCTTTAAGAAACAAAGATTTAAAACAAGAAAAAGAGGGCCTGGGATTTAGCTCAGTGGTTCCGCCACCTGCTTTGCAAGCACAAGGTCCCAAGTTTGATCCCCTGTACCAAAAATAAATAAATAAAGTTTAAAAATAAAAAAGCAAGATAAAGAGGAATATTTCAGTTTCAAATACTCCTGTTCATCCAAAGTAGCTGTCTTCCACCTTCCCCACCTTGAAATGAATCAGCTTCTTTTATTTAAAACAAAACAAAACAAGAACAAGAAAAGGAGAAAAACAAAAGAGAAACCTACAGGGAAATGAACAGAATACAGTTTGACATTTTAATAAGTAATTTACTTTCTGCCTGGACCACAAATTTTATTTTGTCTTGTTAGGAATGCAGTGAGAACATAACCACCTAAATTGAGTAAAGTTTTAATTTTGTTAGTTTGCATGTTACCTTTCTATTCTTGTTACAAACACCTGAGGTAAACAACTGGCTATGGTTTAGATCTAGAATGTTTTCCCAAATTCTCATGGATTCAGTGGTGGAGTTTTTGAAGGTAAGTAGATGATGGTGATCCTCTACTAATCAATAGATTGATCCATTGATGAGTTCTTAGCTAAATGTGCTGTTGGGAGGTAGGGGTGGTTTGGAAGTGGGTCATTGGGGGCATAACCTGGAAGGGTATTGTCTTGTCCTTAGCTGCTCCCTTCTCCCTCTGCTTCCTGGGTACCATGGGATGAGCAGCTATCCTCTAGCCAGACCCTTCTATCCTGCTGGCCTTGGAGCCAGCTGACTATGGATTGCAATTGTGATAGAAAGTAAACCTCTGTTTCCTTAAACTTTGGGTGTTGGTTATTTTGTCCGGTGATGGAAAAGCGACCAAGATTTAATTTAAAGTATGAAAAGTTTATTTTGGTTCAGAGTTTCAAAGGTTTCAGTCCATGGTTGCTTGGCCCTATCACTTTGGGCCTATGGCAAGGAGTAAAATCATTATAGGGAGTGTGTGGTAAAGCAAACTGTTCCTATCATGGCTACTGGGAATCAGAGGGTGGGAGGAGGGCCTGAGTCCCAATAAACGCTTCAAGGTGAAATCCCCAGTAATGTTCCTTGAACTATGTGACATCACCTGAAACCCCTCACCACCACGATAGTGCCATCAGCTAAAGATCCAGTCTCTAACACATGAACTTTTCAGGAACATTTAAAATCCAAACCAAAAAAATCAATCAGTCAATCCAAACCAAACATTTATGAACAAAAGAATAAATCTTAGAATATTAACTGTCCATTCTGAAGCTCTATCCCCTCTTTTTTTCTGTTAATAGATCTCAGAGTTATTAAGAAATGCTACATGGCAAAGATGGGGAAAAGACAATTCAAGACAGTTGTTAGATACTACAAAGGTAAGATTAAGCCCATACATCAACATGTAGTAGGAAAAGCCCATGGAACATTTCCTAACTTATACTACATATATAATACATGTTTTATGTTTTTTAAATAATTTCCTTTGTCATGTTTTTCTGAATACTAACAAGAAGGTATGTTTTTGCTACTGGAACTGCAGAAAGAAATCTTGGTACTTTTCTGCCCATGGAGAAATCTGAATATCTTGAGATCTGTGCCAACTAAGTAACATTTTCAGTAACATGAAATGGCACTTGTTAACACTTAAATTTATCCTGGTAATTTGTATGTGATGTATAGAATGTTGTAGTTTTTCAAGTGAGTGAAGTTTTATTACCTTAGAAAATTTTTGAATAGCAGAACATCAAGAGATTCTAAGCTTATTAATAGCCCTTGAGGTAAGTGATGTTGAGTTTACCTTTATGAGGGTTATTTTTCATATTAATGTAAATGAAAGGCATATTTAAACATTCCCAGTGCTTTAAAATGAAACAGGTAAATCTCTATGATAGAAAAAGACTTTAAAATTAGAAAATGGTCTACTTTTTAATTTTTTTCTAGTTATTCCCCATTAAGGTATAAGAAATTCTGATTTATGTAGAGGCTGTACAAGTGAAAGGTTTTAAAAGTTTAAACTAAAGTTTTAAGGTGAAAACTTGGTTAATTTTCTTATTGTCCATGATGCTATGAATTTTATTTATATTTTAGACTTTTGCTTTATTTAAGACCTTGTTAACTTGTGTGGTATTCATCAGACCAGATAAAACTTGTTGCTCAGCCTTTTAGAGGAAAAAAGCTGTCATAGAGAGATATTATCAAGCTAAAAATTACCTTTTGATACTTTCCCTTTATAAAATGATTTAAGATTGTTAATGCAGGGTTGGGGATTTAGCTCAGTGGTGCTGCTGCCTGCCTTGCAAGTGCAAGGTCCCAAGTTTGATCCCTGCTACCAAAAAAAAAAAAAAAA